TCAGGGACTTGAGACACGGATTGGCAGGCCCTAGAAAAGGCACCCGAGAAACCCTGCCACTACCACCTCCTCAGCAGAAGAAAGCTCTTGTGCCTGTCCAGGAGGCTTTGTTGAGACGTGCAGAGGCCCCCCGGCGCTTGCCTCAGGGAGCCCACAGAAGCTGCAGTGATGGCCAGGGGCTCGGAGCAGCCCTGTCTGTCCCTAGGGCAGGAGGGCATCCACACTGGGGCAAAGGTGTGGACACTGAAGGTCACAGTGGGCCTTCCAGAGGGCCGCAGGCAGGGCCCACTCAGTCCAGCATGGCATCCAGCTGGTCGGCCAGGGCGTCGAACATGGTGCTGATGTCATCCAGGATGTGTTTGGTAGAGGCGCCAGGGGGGCTGCACAAGGGGGAGGTCCATCAGGTCAAGCTGTGGCCCTGGCACGTCTCTGGCTTTTCACCACCGCCCAGGCAGTAGGAGTGACTGTCCTTTCCTCACAGATGAGCTCACTGGGGCTCAAGGGCAAGGGACTCCCACACTCACTGCCTCTAAGGAGGTCGCCAAGACTCCCGGAAGATTTGGTGACGCCACAACCTGGAGTCTTCCCAGCCCCAAGCTCTTCCTGCAGCCCATCCTCTTACCACCCCACCCCCCGAATCTCTGGAGGATGCAGGCGCTATTCTGACGCTCGGCCTTCTCTGTCCCCACCCGCAGGCAGGCACCCGGCACCCCTCACCCCTCTCGCTCCTCGGTGCCAATGCTCTTCTCCGCCGCCCTCAGTGCAGCTGCCAGGGAGGAGCTGGTCTGCTCCAGTCTCTGCTGAGCCCGGCCTGAGCCCACAGCCCCAGTGCTCTCGGGTCTTGGAGGGGGCACCGGACGGGGGCCAAGCCGGGGAGCCAGCTTCGGGCCAGAAAATGCCAGCTGGGTGCAAGCCACAGACACGGGCTTGGAGGCCGAGCCTGCAGAGGGAGAAGGGCTGGCTTGTGAGCCGGCAAGGGTGGACATGGCCCTGCCCAGTGCCCTTGCCCCTTGGCCTGTGCCTCTTACCTGTTCCAGGCACCTTGATGAGAGTGGTGGGGGCAGCTGGTGGCTCCATCTCCCCATTCCGCCGGCTACCTGCTGAGCTTTCCAGACCCGACCCAGAGCAGGGGGGCACCAGGGGCTGCTTTGCAGGGCTGGGAGGAGCAGCTGGACTTCCTGGAGTTGGTAGGCTGCTAGGCTCGGGCCGTGGAAGACTGGGAGAAGCTGGGGAGGGGTGCTCGCTGGGGGCCTGGGAGGAGCTTGGGGTGGCACTGGCCACCCCGAAGGCCAGCAGCGCCGTCTGCAGCGGCTCTCTCTCCCGGCACTTGGGCCTCCGCTTAACAGTGTCTGACTCTGTGAGGTTGAAATCAAGGCCGGGTGGCACAGGTGTCTCCCGGAGCGGGGGGCCAGCTGGCTTTGGCCGCTGTTTGATGGTCAGGTTCCCCTCCTCTGCAAATGGCAGCCCTTCCCCAGAGCTGCCCCGAGATGGGGGTGTCCCCTCAGGGCCTGGCTCCTCCTCCTCTGTGTCCGAAGCAGGCCCAGCTGGGGCGGGTGGGCTAGGGGGCTCCGAGGGGCCAGTGGGTTCACTCAGTGTCCTCCTTCGGGGCCCTGTGGCCCCCTCCTTCAGGCCTGGGC